GTCCTTTGCCATCTAAATGTCCCCTTCCTGCAGCTTGATAACAAAGCACAGAAATCACTACAGGTATTCATGGAAAAATAGCTTTGATTTTCTTTTGAAAAAGCCAGGAAGATTTACCATATTTTTTTCAGATACACATCAAGAAAAAAATGTATGATGTGGAATTCTTATATATCATCCATTTCTGAACAATTTATGTAGGGACTTCTTGCATAGTTATACTTTGAGAATGACTCTTCCCCTTTGAGTCAAGGTGCAGTCATGCTATGGAAATCTCGACAAACAGCACATGTCAGAAGAGGGAAGATATGTTTGATATTGAGTTATTAATGCCCTTAAGCTTTTCTGTAATAGATTGTTTTCCTCCTAAAATTGAGATGCGGACGTAAGTTTAAGAAAAGGTAACAGAAGTCTTTGTGCTTGATAGAAGGGATTTCACATCAGTGTCTCCTTTTAGCCCGTCTCAGAGGGACAGTCCAGGGTTGACCAGAGCTTTGGAGACAAACAGCAAATAAACTGGAAGTACAGCCTTGGTGGTGCTTAGCTAGCTGCTGGCTCAGTGTGACAATGGGAAGACAGGATGGACATGAAAGCATTTCAAGTCAGAGAGGATGGGCCAGCGGTGTGTTTAGATACCATCAACACAGCATGGATCAAAAAGACATGTGCTGAGTTCTAGAGGCAATGTGGGAGGTGGTGAGGAAGCCGGAGAGGGGAAGAAAGTAGGGTGAGTCCACTCAGTTTGAAATGCCTGCTCAGCCCAAGTAAGCGGGCATCTGAGGAACTTGATGGAGGCATATATCCATCTGTTGTGGAACCAAGCTTATATTTTAGCTGCCACTTCTTTTTGAGACAGGCTCCTACTCTGCAGCCTAGACTGGCTTTGAACTGGTGACTTTTTTGTGTAAGTTTCTATGTACTAGGATTACAGGTGTACACCACCACATTGGGGCAAGTCTTCCCCATTGCCTATCCCCAGACAAGTCTTATAGGGAATTTTCCCAATGTGAAAGATACTTCTAGAGAAAGAGACTGGTCTCAGTTTTTCTGTCACCTCCTCTTCACGATGGCCTATTTCCCTTGTTTCCCATCCATCTCCCCGAAAGCTGCAGTCTGTTATACATTGCAGAGGGATTGTCAGTGCACTGTCCATCGTGGCTCAATAAATATTTCATATAAACTTTATATATATATATATATATATATATATATATATGTATGGATTTGTTCACATGTCATGTGCCAAGACATCATTTCTGGAGTTACAAGTGGTTGTGAGCTGCTTGCCATAGGTATTAGGAATCAAATTTGAAAACCAACCCATCTCTCCAGACCCTCATGTAGACTTTATTTACATTTTAAAGTGTCAGTTGATAGTCTCTGTGATTGAGGAACTGGAAGAAAATAATAGCCCCAGTCAGGCAAAGAATATACTTTGCCTTTTTAGTTATTTCCCTGTGAATTTTTCTGATTGTCCTATTTTTCTGAGCAGGACTCTAAGGCTAGAAAAGCTAACGAAGATAAGGGCACTGTCATGAGTCTCAGCAGAACACCTCACGTGTGCTTTGGACTAAGTGTTGAGTGATGAGCTTCTGGTCACAGAATAGATTCTGGTTGGGGAACTTTGCATTCTGAGGTAGACTCAAAATTAAAGCTTCCATTCACAGAGCCCTGAGTGTGGGGACTTCTTTGGAGATCTGAGTTATTTCAAGGGAGAGGCTGTTTTGGGACAATGAAAAGGTATTTAATTTTGCCTAATACACTTTGAAAAGGGCAACAAATAAAAATGCAAATATGGAATTTACCTAAGCAAATGAGGTATAGATGGTTATTGGCTTTTCTAAGACAGACAAATGGCAATTAAGTTGTTTTAGTTACTTCTCTGGACACATGTGCTATGAGTGGGGGGAGGGATTTATAACTAGACAGGGGTGACCCAAGGAAGCTTCCCAGCTCTCTATTAGTGCTCAATTGTGAACTATACCTCCTCTCAGGGAGATATGCTTTATAGCTTCACCAGTTCTCAGTGTGGGAACTCAGTCTAGAATGCAGGACCTTGAAGAGAGAGGACAAGCTCAAGACCTAGCTGTGCCCATGTTTCAGCGCTTGGAGATGGGCTTCGTTTCCTGTAATTGTGTCACTGAAGGAAAAGCCCTGATCAGAGGCTCATGAAGGAATGGAGATAGATAGCAAATTTATCCATTTGAGGAGTGGCAGGGTTCTTTCACTGTTACACGTTGCTGGTGATGTCATTGAAATAAGAAAAAACAAGAGCCACAAGCTATACTTGTGTGACACAAATGTGTCAAAGTTGTTTTGATGTAGGAAGTGCTATGGGACTGCTTAATGATATTTAGAGTATATCTTTATTTCTGCACATACTACATATACACACATAAGACTACAAATAATACATGCTGTAAAACAGTGGGAAACAGGACACACGATGCTGGGTTACACACTTAAGCTTGTCCAGAAAGTTACCACCCTTTGATACTTTAATCTTTAGAGTAATGCCATGGGCCATGTTAGAATATTAGAACAGAGGCATTGGGTTGTTGGGGTTTCAAACCAGAAGGGACCTCAGCTATCATCTAGTCCAGTGGTTTTCAAACTTGATTTTTAGCAGCAGATTATTTTTTTCTTTAAAAATGAAATCTTAGGCAGAACCTCATTTTATAAAACAGGTAAGAATAATCAGTGGGTTTTGCTGGCCCTTTAAATCCTGATTGGCAGGGCAAACAGTTCTTCATTGCCTACAGAATCCCGTATGCACGTCAGGTGTCAAAGTTTGAAAACCACTGATCTAGTCCAACCCTTTCATTTTACAGATGAGCAAACTGAGGTCCAAAGAGGTTAAGTGACTTGCCCAAGGTCACACAGCTAGTCGTGGAAGAGCCAGGACTAGCTCTCAGGTCTCTTGACTTCCAGTCCCGTGCTCTTTCCACTACACCACACTGCCAGTAAGGTAGGTGCTGGGTTAGCATTATATTCATAGCTCGTCATGGTCTTCACTGCTTTCCGACTGATGTATGCTGGTAATATGTACTGAATGTCAAACTGTATTATTCAAGAATGTATAGGATATGAAAGTACACATTAGAATCACCGAGACAGACACAATAAATCAATATCTAAAATGTTTCTTTCTACTTTAAAAAATTATTTCAGTAATGTCTGAGCTGTATGGGATACTTCAATCTGATTCCAGTGATCAATATATATGGAGTCAGTATGTTAAGTGCAGACATATGCTTGATGGGAGCACCACTGAGATTTCTGGCTGCCATTCCCATGGTGGCCATGCACTGCTGTCATTTCCAATATCAGCCAAGTCTCCCATCTCCTTCAGCTTGTAGGTATTTCACATTAAATCCTGCAGACTTCCCCTTGTTCCTTGGGTGCTTGTACTCTTGGCCCAACCTTTTATTCTCCCTGGCTGGTGGGTGTAAATTGTCACCAGGATTCCATCCTTCAGGAAAAGATGGGAAGGTCCTTGTAGTGTCCTGTTGCCTCTGATTATTGATCCAGATTTCCCTCCAAGTTTCCTTTGCTATAATCAGACAAGGACTGTCACCAATGCCAGGAAAGAAGGAAAACTGTCTACTGGGCTCGATAGCTATGTATCTTCTTGGAATTGAAAAGGCACATGGCACTCTGCAGCCTGTGTGAATCGGCAGACTCTTATATGGTGACTTTCTGAGAACATAGATGCTACCAATGCCCTGCTTGCAGACAAAGTGAGATGCAGTTTGTTCTTTTTTTTTACTGGGTTTACTGGACTCATCTCTAAGAAGTAGAGATTTATTCAACAAGACCCTGTTTCTTTTTTTGTTTTGTTTTGTTTTGTTTTGTTTTGTTTTTTTAGGACCCTGTTTCTTTAGTCATACTTGTGTCCGCAAATCCAGGAGCAGTGGTTAGAATCTGGTTTCATTTATGAAATGCGTTTCTCCTGAATGTCAAGTTCACAATGCTATATAGTACATGATGAAGTTCATTTGGAAGTGTTTTTAAACCCTGTTTTTAAACCCTGAAACCCCAGGTAGGACATACAAACTCTCTAGGGATGAATTTACTCAAGTTTAGAATAAAATAGGTGCAGGAGCTGAGGGTGTAACTTAGTGATAGAAAATTTGTATGTCTGGTTCTTGGGTTCAATCCCCAACACCACTCCCCACCTAGATTTTCTTTTGAGCCTGAGCTATCTGTATGACTGTTGACTGATTTATTTTTTGGATTACTGAAGAAAATGTTGGGGTTCTAGACGTACTGTATGAGTTGAGTTATATCATTCCATGCAAATAGATTATGGAAACATTTTGTATCTTTGAGATCAAGTTCTGTAACCTTTAGTCACTGGTGGCCATTGAGCACCTGAAATGTGGCTACTGAAAATTTTCAATCTTCATTTAATTTGAATTAACTTACATCTTTAAGTGCCATTTCCAACAGTACAGATCTCAGGTGTTCTTGGGGTCAAAAGTCAGATGCCTGGTGGAATAGATTGGTACACATTATTCATCTCCATAGTAATGATGCTTGACTTTGATAAAATATCACTGAAGAATAGGTCTTTTCTCTGAATTTTTTGAGGCAGGGTTTCAATATGTAGCCCAGGCTGGCCTTGAACTTTCAGTGCTCCTGCCTCAGCCTCTCAAGGGCTGGGATTATAGATGTGAATCAACTTGGCAACAGCTACTAGGATAGCTTTCTGTAGAAGGAGACCGGTTTCCTCTTATTTGCAACTTACTTATATGAACTGTAGCTGCAAAGGTGTTTGCTAGTTGGATGACAAGTGTAGCATTTTCTGCTGCTAGCCCAATGAACCTTTCAGGCTGTGCATACGTTTTAGTGAATCCCATCAAAGATTCTGGGAAGCTTTGTTTTGTGAGTTCCTGGCCAGTGAAGAAGTGTTCTATTGGCTATCACAAGCTCAAATTGGGGTATCTGAACGATGTTGAATCCTGTATGAAACAAAACTCTTTTTCTTCCCTCCTCAGAACCAAAGAAAATGGCTTTGACAGAGAGCCTTTGCACTCAGAACATCCAAGCAAGCGACCATGCACTATTAGCCCAGGCCAGCGGTACAGTCCAAATAATGGCTTGTCCTACCAGCCAAATGGCCTGCCTCACCCCACCCCACCTCCACCTCAGCATTACCGCTTGGATGATATGGCCATTGCCCACCACTACAGGGACTCCTATCGACACCCCAGCCACAGGGACCTCAGGGACAGAACTAGACCTATGGGTAAGACTGGAGGCTCTGTTTTCTTCTTTGGGGAGTGGATGTTTGAAGATTTGTGCCGTTACTTCTCAACTGAGTTTGAACTTGTAATCTGATAGAGCTGAACACCTCTCTTTATGTTGTTTTCTTTGTGAAGAAACTCTATTAATATGCAGTGTCTCTTTTTTAATCACTTGGATTTTAATTAACTAATTAATTATCTTTGAGACAGTCTTGTTACATAAACCAGCTAGCCTCAAACTTGCAATTCCACTGCTTACTGAGTTTTGAGATTCTAGGTATGTGCCACTCTACTGGGCATCACCTACATGCTTTAAGAGAACAGGTTAACGTCTTGTTTTGGGAGGAGAGCATCAAATATCGTCAAATATCATATAAAGCACCAATTACAGTTTTAAAAGCAAGTTGGATTTTCCTTGAATTCTTTTTTAGTATACGAGGTTTCATATATGATCCAACCACAGATTTTTTAAAAATTATTTTCTTTTGCTGAAATTTTGTGTCAAGGTTGATTTTTAAATTCTCTTTCTCCATACTACTCCATATTTCCAAATATTATATGGCATATTGTCTGTGGCCTAGCTTGATAGGCACTCCATGAGGAATACTTTGGCACATTACTCAAAAATGCTAGGGATAAGAGTTAGTGTCCATTTTACATCAAATATCATAAAACAGAAGGAGTGGCTGTGGGCAAATGTCTGTTCTCTTTGACTGTATCCATGGCTTCATTCACAAATTAAAATAGAAGTGAAGCTTTTAGGAGACATTACCTTGTGAAGGACAAGTGTCAACCATGGCAACATCAGAGGCAAGATGATTGATGCAAGCTGTGGCATGTAACTGTGGCTGGCGTGGTGAAATCAAACGATTAGTAAGTATGCTGTTCTTAGGGTACCTTTAGTTCCTAATTTTTGCTGAGTCCCACTGGGAGCAGTAATCTACTGCCCTTCTTTTGGGATCTCACACATTCGGAGGCATCCTTTACCACAAAACTAGTTGTTGGCAAACTTACCTTCTATGGGGAATTTGAAATTTGGTGGGCAGCATACAAGGGATGAAGTCTAGGTGGGAAAACAGAAAACTGAGCAGAGGATGCAGAACTCTGGGAAACACAGTGCACCACCTGGCCACTGCTTGAATAACAGTGATAGTTGCTTTTGTTTTTTTCACTGGCAAACACCTGATATGCAGAAGCTGGTATGAAATTTTCCACCTGGATTACTAGGAAGCAGTAGTTGCCATGTGTCATGTCTGCTTGGCTTTCTGCATGTAGCCTTCCTCAGGCATAGAAAAGCATCAAGAGAGAGCAAGAGGAGAGCTGACTGGGGATTTGGTTGTGAGATAGTTGATAGTATTTCCGGTCCCCACAATAGCCGTTTCTACATTTATTTATCATGTCAGACAAATGGCAAAGCATGTAATTTGTGATTTTGTTTAGTAGCCAATCTGATGTTCAAGCAGGCAATATCTCTAAAGAGATTTTTAGAAGTGGCCATATTATTTCTCAATCAGGACTGATACTTTTTTATTATTAATACATATTTATTTTTAATTAAAATATAACAGAATCTTAAGTGCCCTTCCTTTCTTCCATTCCACCCTTTCAAGTATCCACCTCTTAAATTAATGGCCCCTTTAATCTTATTTTATCTGTATAAGTGCATAAATAATTAAGTACAACCTGAAGAGTCCATTTGCTTATATGAATACAATACATATTATTTCAGTGATGACCCATTGGAATTTTATAAACAATAAAATGGCTTATCTCTTGGAATGTCTAATTCTGTCTCAGCAGTCTTTAGTTGTCTGTAGTTTTGTTGAGGAGTGGAGCCTCATGAAATTTTTCCCATGTCATGACAGCATGTCTTATGGTATCATCCTTATTCAGAGGACTGATACTTTGAGCTATATATCACATGTAGTGTAGTGGCAACCTCCTTCTTTGCAAAAGTTTTACTATTTATTTATGACTTAATGCCTGAAAAATGTAAGTGCTCATTTCTGTTTTATCTGTCTATCTTTCTGTCTGTCTGTATCTATCTATCTATCTATCTATCTATCTATCTATCTATCTATCTATCTATCTTTGGAGACAGAGTCTCTCTACATAGTCCTGGCCACTCTGGAACTAACTAAATAGACCAGACTGGCCTCAAAGCCACAGAGATCCACCTGCCTCTGCCCCTCCCAAATGATAGGATTAAAGGTATTCACCACCACACCCAGCTATGACATCTCATTTTAAATAGCAGTGGAGTTACCTGGCCACCGTGAAACTGACTCAAGTGATGTCCAGTTGTCGGCATAGAAATGGTCTCTTTCTCAGTCAACAGCTGGTGTTTGGTGACATGTTAGTTATTGTGACCCACTGAGTGATCATCACAGAAGTAATTGTGTTTGTGTGCACTGATTATATTTTCATACATTATGAATTATATCTGCAACCACTGGTTTTATGCACTTTTCTCTAGACCATGTGTCTCACCTTTTTAATACACTATCTTATAAAACTAATAGTGCTAATCTCTATAAATATGTGCAACTACTTAGCCATCCCTAAAATCTGGCAGAGTTTAGTGTGTATTAATGTAAAATAAAATCTGTATGAGAAACAAATTGTGATGTTATATCAAGCTGCCATTTTGAGGGTAGAAAAATCTTCAGAAAGGGATGATGTATAAATGCCTCTTACATGTAGGGACATATACTCATTAAAATAATTAAGTAAAGTCACTTGGAAAACAGCGTTGGTTTATTGGTAAGCTTAAATTTTGGGCTCATTTATCTAGAATTTTCTGAAGTTAAGAACAAATTAAGTCTGCACATTAATGCTAAGTATCTCATGATTTATTTATCATGTCTGTTTACCCCTTTACATCCTTCTGTGGTATCAGTATGATCAAAACTATGTGAGGTTGGGGACTTAAATGTATGAAACTGAGATAATGCTACATGTAAATTTTCGTTTCCTTAATTTTTTTCCTTTTCTTATTCAGTTAGACCAAAAATGACCTCCAAACTTCAATGTATTGAGCCAATCCTATATTTCTACACCAAATACTGAGGATCAAACATGTTTCTCACATGGTTATTATTATTACCTTTTAAAGAGATGAAGTTCAGCACTGTTCTACAAATGCTAGGCTTCCACGAATGACAAACATCCTGTGCCTCATTAATTGTCGTGGGCATTAGAAAGGTGAATCAGTGTTGACTTAGTGAGATAAAGCCTTGACATGTTTGTAACTTCTATGATTCTTGATCCTTACAGGCAAATATCTAGATGCCACTGTCATGAGTGTCCCTGTCACATTTATATTCTTATCACTCTCTAGTTGTTTTCTATGATGACTAATTTTAACATTAGTGCTTTTTTCCCCTAAAAACACAGGCAACAAATAAGTCAACAAAGATTACATATTTGCAAACATTTCAACTTGAAATAATCACAACAAACAGAGCAATAACTAAATATTACTTTCCCTCTGAGTCTTTTCTATTATGCAAATCAGTAAAACATATTTGCAGTTTTCCTTTTTTACCAATAGGTGGCATTGACAATTTTAAGTTTTAAATTGTATCCCTGAATATTTTCTAATTGGACAGAAATAATGTAAAACATTTTATACTTGGCATTTGTATCCTAAGAAAGAACTGTCATGAATTTATTTAATCCAATCAATCATAGACACACATATGAATGAAAACAGCCTTGTGACTCAACCTGGTTTTTTTTTCCTCTAAATCAGCTCAGAGAAAGATTTCTAAGCACTTACTATTTCATAGTAAGTGGAACACAATGTCTTCTAAGTCTATTGTCATTTGGTGCATTCAGAAGGTCCTCCAATATGGGCCTTCGTGTTTAGAAACCCCACACTTGCCAGCCCTGGTTTTTTTGTTTAGAGTAACATTGTGAGGAGTGGGAGCCAACTCTAGGGATTCAGCCATTAAAGTGGAAAATGATGTCATAGACTAATCGCCTTTCTTTGACAGAATGTAAAGGGCTTTGTCCGCAGCGATTCTGTAACATGACCCCTGATGAGACCCTTCTGCTTTCAGTGAAACAAATAGGATCTGTGTCCTGTGAGCATCTTGGCTAACATCCCATCATTAATGTCGGTGGTGAACCAGGAGTAAAGGTTCACATCTGCTATGTCAGCACTTGGTGGGCTGAGTCAGGTGGCGTGGCCATGAGTTCTAGGCCAGTCTGGGCTAGAGTGAGACCATGTATTAGGAAAACATGGTAAATGTTTTCATGTTGCCGTGTATTTGTGTGTACCCATGAATGAGGAGTGTAAAGATCAGCATTAGGTGATCCCTGTCTTAGTTATTTTTGGACAGAGATTCTCTCACTGAACTTGATGCTCACTGGTTGGTCTAGACTGGCTGGCCAGAGAGTTCTAGGAATCCTACTGTCTCACTACCTGCCCAGGAACTGGGATTAAAGGCATGTCTTGGTTTTTCATATGGGCAGTGGAAATCCAAATTTAGGTTCTCTTGCTTGTATGGTGAGTACTTCATTGACTGAGCCATCTTCCCAGATCACGTTGTCTTTTCATAAAAGGGGCCTAGTATACATGATCTTCATGTTAGAATTTTCAATTTCTTGCCTTGAAAATTTATAGGTTATTTTGTAAGTGACATGTTGATTTTTTTCCATAAAGATTGTGGTGTGGGGCCATGTATGGTGGTTTATGCCTAAATTCCCAAAACTTTGCAGACTGAAGTAGAAAGATTGAGAATTTAAGGCGAACCTGGGCTTCAAAGGGAGTTCTAGGCCAGTCCGCTCATCATGGTGAGACTTCGTCTCTATTGACAGACAAAACAAAACAATTAAAAATAGAAGAAAGATCTCATTTCTTCTTACTTTTTATATTTTGGTAAGTTGAATGGTCATTTGTAGCTTTCATATTATCCCAGTTTTTGTATATGGACCTAGTTAGATATGATAGTAAGATTGATTGTATTAACATATAACTGTGCTAAAATATGAAATTTTTACCATCTTCTTCAGGGAAAAATAGCTCAAATATTTTTAAATTAATTATGTAATTAAAAATTAAAACATGTTACACTGTCCTTATTTTAATGAATTATAGCCACAAATGATACTGGATCAATTTACTGACTGACTGACTGGTTGATTGCTAGGAACTGAACCCAGGGCCTCACAATGCTAAGAATAGTCTCTAACTCCATTCTTCCTTGTTGCTGTAAATACAAGATTTCTTGTCTTTGTTAGAGGTCAGGTGTTAAAAGAAGCTTTTTCTTTGCTAGCCGCTTTGGTTTATCCCCCACCAGTTGCCTGGGCTCTGCCGCTTTGTAGTCCCCAAATAAACACACAAGACGCTCTATTAATTATGAAGCTGTTGGCCTTTGCTTGTTTCTTACTGGCTTGCTCTGACTTAAGTAATTACCCCATAATTGTTAACCTAAGTATTTCTCTTACCGGAGAATAGTTCCGGGCTTCCTACCCCATGGCGTTACATGTCGAACTCTCTTGTGTTTTCCCTTCCCAGAATCCTCCTGGACTCCTAGTCCCACCTATCTAGATTCCTATTGGCTCAACAGTGCTTTATTAACAAATGTACAGGACTTCCCCCATCAGTCAGGAATGCTGTTGGACAACCAGCCCTCATCTGTGAGGTCTCTTATCAAAGTCATCACAGCTTCGCCTCTTGTAGTTGATGCTGTCTGCTGATTGCAAATATTGGCTGTGTGCTGGAGGATTTGGGGGATTAAGCCTTCTTCTTTGCATTTGTAGGGTTACATGGCACACGTCAAGAAGAAATGATTGACCACAGACTAACAGATAGAGAATGGGCAGAAGAATGGAAACATCTTGATCATGTAAGACATGAGTAATCTCTTGGGCTAAAACTGTTTTGCAAGCAAGTGAGGTGAGCTTTTGTGAGTGCTTCAAAGTATTGCAGAGTCTGTTCTTGGGAAAAAAATGAGTGTGGATATTTGAAGTAGTGAAAGTGAATATTTGAAGTAGAAGATAAGATCTGATTTCTAAGTTGATTCAAAAGCTGCTTAAGAGAAATATTAGATCTTGGAAGAGCATAGATCAGCAGACCACTGTTTTATTGTGAAAAGGTCACTTAGTTTATAGTTCAGTGAGCTCTGTATTTGGAAAGATAGATTTACTATTAGGAGAGAATCTGTCACGACTCCATCCAGACTTCCTATTTTTTCCCTCTTCATTTCTGTTCAGTTTGATCAATTATTGGGTCTGATTGTCAAATCTTTCCATCAAAAGTCTTTTTTAGCGAAATTGTACACTAAAGCCTCCAGGAAGAAGACATTATGTTTCATTGGCCTGAAACAGTGTGTTTCACTGCTCATCCATTTATTAAACGTGTGATGATGTGTGTAACCTTCTTTCCCTCCTGTTCCTCACATAGCTGTTAAACTGCATAATGGACATGGTAGAAAAGACGAGACGATCCCTCACGGTACTCAGACGCTGTCAGGAAGCAGACCGGGAGGAACTGAATTACTGGATCCGGCGCTACAGTGATGCTGAGGACTTAAAAAAGGGCGGCGGCAGTAGCAGCAGCCACTCCAGGCAGCAGAGCCCCGTCAACCCAGACCCAGTTGCGTTAGGTACTTTTATTTTGTCTTTCGATTGAGTACCTTCAATGCCCATTTAATATTCCATTCATAATGACACTATTTTTTAGTGTGTGTTTCTGAAAACAAGGAGTGCTGAGGGAATTTAAGGACAGTAAGCATTTTCTATAGCCTTGGCATCAGTTTCTTGACATTCATGTATGTTAAGAAATGGTGAGAACACTCAGACTTTTTCCAGGTAAATACATGGAGCTTACGGCAGAGTTTTGGAGCTGAACCAGGCTGTGTCCTTCATTAGATAGCTGTGAGAACTGCTTCAAACCTGTTAACATGCAAGCTCAGTCATGTGTCTGTGGTGCCAACATTTCTAGCAAGGTTTCTATAGGAGTCTTTAAAAGAATACACTTCTGGAATAGTGTGTGTATGTGTGTGTGTGTGTGTGTGTGTGTGTGTGTGTGCGCGTGCGTGTGCATGTGCGTGTGAGTACAGTGCTCATGGAGGTCAGATGAGGATATCAGATCCTCTGGAACTGCAGTTATTGGTGATTATAAGTTGCCTGATATGGATGTTGAGCTCAGAGCCTCTGGAAGAACGTACATGTTCTTAACTGCTAAGCTATCTCTTCAGCATCTTTTATAAGTTTTCATTAAGGCCCAGTCTGGAAGACAGTCTTGTTCTGTTGCTATGTCTCATCAAACAAACAGAAACCAGCTCTTCCCAAAGACCCTCTGGATGGGAGACAAGAATGCTGTACAGTGTGCATATGCCACATGAAAGCTAATGATTAAAAATGCAGCACTTCTATTATTTATCTTCATTTAGATTGTTTACTCTTGATTTTATTACTTATAGTTATATAATGGGACTGTGTTATGACTACCTGAAACTATATTTAGTGTTGATATTTGTAGATTGTCAGGATAAAAAATAGAATATAATACCAAAGATAAATTCAACCTAAAAGCATTTCAAGTGGCCTGCGAACTTGTCCCTAAATGAATAATGAGTTTTATCGTTTACATTGCTAACCATTGTGTGTATACAGTATTTGACTAAATATAGTAGAGATTTGGACTTGTATGGACCCTCATTCTGTCTTTTTACATGTTTACCTCATACCCACCCACTAACTTGCTTTTGAATACAGTCTTTGCTGGAAAATAAAAAGGCAAAAGATTTATATGATCTGAAGAGAAACCAGAGTATTTTGCTGGAAAATAAAATGAATAACCCACATAGAGAATAAACCAGAAACTTTGAATCCTTAGTGCAATGACTGATGACTCAGAATAAACATTTTGAGCCATATTTTTCTGGTTATTGATTTCACATTATTCCTTTTAAAAATAAAATTATTCTTAGCAAATACAGTTTCCTTTGCACTTAGATTTGTGGATTTCTGCAAACCCTTGAAGACTGAACACTCATTACCATAGTAAATATTAAATAAAGAAGGATTCCTAGCTGCATAATTTACTCAACAGGCATTATTTTGAAGAGTTTACAGGCAAAACAGTTTTATTTGTCAGATTGCATTAAGGCTTGTAATAAAAACAGAATTGAGTCTGATTGGAATTGGTATTGGTCTAAACAAAGCTATGTGGAGCTCAGTTCAATAAGCATCTTGTTTTTATTTTCTTATTGTGAGCAAAAAATGGTTAATGTGGCAGATTTGCTAAGAAACAAAAGGGAATATCTGTAACCACTGAGCATAGGAAAAATGGAGAACCCTAAAGTAAATAAGCCTCCTGGAACAGAATCACACAATGTGGTTGGCTCAGTGGAGCACATTCATGGGGTAAACCCTTAAACGTCATGTGCTTATTATGTTCGAGGCACTATAAGGAAGATTCTTCATTCTGGCCTAGAGGAAGGATAGACAAAGATACAGCTGAGGACATGGACTGGTGTCTACTCAGCAGTGTTAAGAAGTTTCAGAAACTCACTGGACTTCATCCTAAAGCAAGATAATACTTAGCCACAGATGTTGTCTGCACAGACTCTAACTGAAGTTGGCGAATGGTCAGATCCTTCAGAAAGACAGCTTCCGGTCTCTGATATAAAACCAAAATAATAGTAGTAATAATAAAGAAAATCTGTTGCATAGGTGTATACAGATTACTGCCTTTAGTGATTCCTGGGTGAATTCATATTTTTGATCAAGCTAAGATGTTGCTATGGCTTTAAGCTTTTGTAGGTTATAGTCAAAGGCTACCTAACATTTTGTATTTCACTGTTTAGACTATTAAAAGATTCATGTGCTTTTTAGACACAGAACCTTGGACTGCCGACTTTGAAGGCATTGTCGAGATTGTGAAGAGTTCCCAGGTTCTAGAAGCTTGTGGTTATTTTTCTTGTGTATCTTTGCTGCTTGATTTGTGAAGCCCTCAAATTCCATTTTCCGGAGCCGGTTTGTGGCTGTCAGTGAGAGGAGAGGTAGTTTCAATCAGAAACCACTATTATTTACATGAACTTCTTTCTGTCCTCCAGGGTTTAGAACTGAAGGTATGAATGAGTGTAGTAAAGAGACTATAAATTATTGGCAAATAAATCCATTTTCTTTTCCTGGAAAGTGTTTAATGAGATTCCTGTGGGCAGAGAAAGCTACGATAGGTCTGTATTTTATATACATGTAGGTATTATTATGTTGTAAGTCATTTATTTTCTAAGGTTTGAAATGGTAGGTCTCAGATGAGACCTTCAGAATATATTGTAGAAGATATGTTTGGCTCAAATCTAGCCTGCCTCCCACTCCTAACTTGGAAATTGTGGAGATGTTTAGCCATACACACATTCTTAACATGTATAAATGGTGTTTAGGGACTGTGTGGAGGAGAATGTGGATCCAGGACTGATGTGCTAAAACTTTGTTTGACTCAGTCCCAGAACCATTTTGAAATGTATCCACAGAATTAAGTCACTGAGGGAAAATAGAAAAATAATACAATTAATCTATCACTAAATGAATTTTACAAGTTTTCTCCAGATATAAAATAGAGACTATTGTGAATATCTTCTGAACTTTAAGCACTAAGAACATACTGATCTCATCATTTTGTCTTCATTCTTTAAATAAAATGCAAGTTGATATCTTAAAGCACTCCCCCCCCATGTAACTCAGCCTGAGCTTCAACTAGCTTTGTAGCTGAGGATGACCTTGAACTCCTGATCCTCCATTTTCTTTAAAATTCTTGGATTACAGGTACATGCATCACTCCTGCCCTCAAGAACTTTGTAAAGCATGATTTTTCAATTGAAAAAAAATGATGTTTACTTTGTGTTTTTGCTGTACTGGAAACAAATGGGAAATGCTGTGAAATAATCACTTTGTACACTGAAGATATGTTGCTCTCATTGTGACTAGAAAGCTGATTGGCCAATGGCTAGGCAGGATTTTCAGAGCAGTGAGAATGCTGGGGAAATTAAGGACACAGTCAGAGAAGAAACCATAAGATGTAGAGCAAGTGGGGTGGGAGGTACATGAGGTAAACAAACCTTGGGGCTTATCTTAAGTTATAAGAGCTAGCTGAAAACAAGCCTAAGCTACTGGCTGAGCATTTCTAATTAATAATAAGTCTCTGTGTGGTTATTTGGGTAGTGGCTGGCAGGACAGAAAAGTCCTCCTACATATTCTTTTTATTACTCTTCATATTTAACTGCTAGCAGCATTAGAATAGTACTCTTCAAACTATTGTCTTTCCTTTAAATATGTGACCGTTAGACCTTTCTGCTTTGTTATCTAGTGAACTTAAGTGACAAGAATGGTGGCAGGGTGAGAATTGGCAGGTTCAGTCACCGACACACAATTCCGGCATTTCTAGGAGCTTGCTGGCTGGCCCTTGCCATGATCCCTGAATGTTTGGGTCTCTGGCACTCCTCCCCACTGTACCTTGTTCTCCTAGTGATGTGCTGCTTCTATTACTGTTTTGGATCCTAACATTTTATATTCTTTCCTTTTCACTTGCTTGGAAGTAGTCTAGAATCTTTCTGCAATTGATTGTGTATCTCTTTTACTTTTAAGAATGTTTCAAAAATTGTTAAAAGAGTTCTCTTTTTTTTTAAGTTATCTAATGATGGGTTTCAGGCTGACACCAGGAACTATGGTCAGGAGCTCTGAAGTCTGATGGTTTAATTCCTTGTAGGTTTCTGGAAGAATGCTGAAATGGCAGGGCAGAGGTTTAGCAAGTGTCTCTGTGTGGATTTTGGTAGGAGCTTACCTTTTGCCAGAAAGAAGTGCTTGGCTGATTTAAATGGAAGGAAAAAATGAAGCTGGTCTTCACAAAAAGGGCAGTTGTTCGAGAGTTTCATGGATGATGGAGTAGTTCATTCTTTAAAGTATCTCAGTTGGCAAGTGGTTTGTTCATAGCAGCATTGAACTATATAGGTTCTCCCTGGCAACTGATCTCAGTCGTACTTACAGTGAAGACCCTGAATAGGTCTGGATTATGATTCTTGGTTCGCTCTACACTTGGGAGTTCTGTCAAGTCACAAATCTCACCTTCTTCATCTGCAAAATGAAGATAGTAAGAATGTACATGCTGTAGGCAGTTCTACCAGTATTGAATTAGGAAGCATACAAGCTGAAAAGGGGGTGTCTGATGCTTAGTAGTGTAAATATTAATTTATGGTAATCTTCAAAAGGACTTGAAAGAAAAGTAGTAAATGATGTTGGTTGGTTTTTTGTTTTGTTTTGTTTTGTTTCTTTTGACTTAACATTCGAGATTGTAACATGATAGTGGATACGTTTTTCAGCTAAAAAATTCAAGTATGGTTTCTATTGGCAGAGAAATTTAAAAAGGAATTTTGCCTTAAATATAATACTGTATTTAATTCATAACCCATGACTATAGAAAATAGTTTTCCCTCAACCAAAAAAACATTGTTCAACTTCTCTACTGCCAGAATATAAAAACCATGAACAAGTTGTTCAGAATGGAGCTGCATGTGAAATTTGGATTTTTATACACTTGCATTGATTTCTTTTTTTTTTTTTTGTAGTCACATCATGAAGTCCATCTCAGGGCCACACAGTTGAGTCCATAATGTAAATGCCTGTGTTTTGAAATTCTGCTTTATTTCATAACATTATATTTAAAACACTACAAATTAAGTATGCCTATCTTTTCAAAACAAGAGATGGTTCTTTCTAGAACCTGATGTGTGCTCATTGATAGAAACGACACTGGAAAGCAGTGGCTCATTTTGAGGCTGTGTGGGGCCTTCCAAGAGATAGCTTTGAGATTTCTGAATTTATTACCCTTTTGAAAGTGAGGATGAAGTCACTTAACCTTTCTTTTCTTTTGATGATCTCTGTAATAGATATGGTCATGATCACAGCCTCATTCTGCCCACTACAGGATGAAGGCCATGCCTAGGTGCTGCCGAGCTTTGAGCATTGCTGTCCTGGGTCAGATGAGGTCACATTGGTTCTCCAAAGGCTCTCTGCTCATCCCTTCATGTATATTGATGGCGGCCCTTGCAGTATCTAGTACCCAGTGGTCTCCATTCTGTCGTAAGTGTAGTGCATCTTCCATCTCCTTCATTCATCATCAATCGCTGTTCTTGTTTTCCTCCACGTTTCTTCTAGCATTTCCCTTCACTCTGGCATGGCTCTTTCTCTCTATGAGATGTCTGTTATCTTCTGGAGGTTGCCACCTCCTCTTCCCTCTACCTCCAAGCCATTTGTATTTCAAACCAGGCAAACGTAATTTAGGACTTCTCTACTACCTATCAGTAATCACATTTTTGTACATGTTTTACATTTGAAATGCAGTCTTGATAGATGCTCCTATTTAGATGTATTTATAGTTGCATTGTAGAAGAACTATCCATTTTTATAGCAACTGCCATTTTGAAGGTAGTTTTTCCAAAAAGATAGTTGTTATAAACAAGATTCTTTTGAAGGAGCTTTAGAGTCTTAGAAAATTTTCTTCTCTAGATTATCGAGTATTTTAAAGCAATTAACTTCTAGAACTGTCTCTTTATCCTATTTATCAACTTCAGGATTTCCTTTTTTTTTCATTTTTGTCTCCTAAGCTCCCCCTTTTATGTGTAGCTTCTACTCCTTAACCACACGTTGCTATTTAGCCAGAAGATACATAATCTTGACATTACAACTACTTAATCAAAAGATAACATAAATGTATTATGTGGTTTCTGTAGCCTGTTAAGTAATAAGTTTAATATTTAGCATGAAAACAAAGAGACTCTGAAGAGTTCTGTTCTCCCCATTGTTAAACCTAATGTTCAGCAAAAGTACCATGACTCAGAACCGGAGAGGATGCTGGAAAATGCATTCTTTTGTGTTTGCATGTGTGCATGCGTGTGTGCATGCATGTGTGTATTTGGTTTTAGGTTTGACCACTTTGAAAACAGCTATTTTAGAAACTAGGGTTATGGAAACTGTATTTCACATTTGGCTTCAGTATTTCTTGGGTAGGAGTTGGGGCCCTTTGGATATCTCAGTGTATCATGTAGGGAGATGTAGCCAAAATAAGACACAGCACAGCTTTCTAGTGTGGTTCAGGAAGATACCCACTGTACAGCACATGGAAGGTGAGAGGTTGACTGAGCCCTAAACAGTAGTATTTGAGTGAAGTTTAGGGCATTAATATTCACAATGTTAAGTATCTACTTTCAAGGAGAAAGATGGTGAATTGATGACTTTAGGAATAATTTCAATCCAACATGTAAAATAATATTCTTAGACTTAAATATTTTGGGGGTGTATTTGCAAATGTAAACTTCTCCAGAGCTTTTGCTTTCTTTAAAGTTGTGTGTTATCTGGTTAAGTACCGAAAAAAAAGCCAATCTCTACAGTTGTTTCTTCATCCTATTAGTGTTGCCTCAGTTTATAAACGGGGCATCTCAAATCTGGAGAAGTCAACTAGCTTGATACCCAGAGTGAATGAGAGCCAAAAGTTTTTCCCGCTGGATCCTAGTCCTGTTTCTGTTTTTTTCTGCTGCCTAGATTGGGTAATTTGCATCTTTTATGTCTGTACTTTGGATAACAGCACCACCTTTCCCATTCTTTATAATAATGTTTGCTTATTTATCAAAAGATGGTTGTTAAACTGCTGAACTGTCTTTAACCTGCTAGATGCTAAAAACAAAAACAAAAAGAACCTACCTCTTGGAACTTGTAGGAACTAGTTTTTATTTTTGGCTGTAGACATTACAGATCTGTTGTTAGCCAACTAATTATCCTTCAGTGAATGCTATTTACCTGTGAAAAAGTCTTTATTGTTTATTACATGTAAATTTGTTATCACTGTATGACATGCTGCAACTGAATTTGACCACATTCCATCTCCTATGGAAATAGTTATGGTGGCACAGAAGGCAAGGTTGAATAACTTAGTTACAATATCATATTTACACCAGATAGTTATTTCTAGATTTATGGAAGAACAATCATAATTTAGTTTTTTAAAAAAAGGGTATTTTGTTGTTGTTACGTACTTTATAAAATAAACATACCAATGAAAACTTGTGGTCATAATACTTATTATATAATTTTATATTAATGATGTAAATTGTGTAATGATTTATTAAGTGGCTTTAAGATTATACTGTAAACTTTTAAAAAGAAGTTTTTTGCTCTTGAAAAAAAAATACTTAAAAGAAACATTGTAAAGATAGAATAGAGGCTTTCTGTATATCCCTCACCAAATTACCATGCATTTTTTAAAATTAACTAGGGAAAATTAGTGTTCTGGCTCACTGATGATCTATGTACCGTGCAAAGATTTGCATATATTTAAAAGCGTTCATATCTAATGACTTAGCTAAAGGGACTGTCATTTGTCTTCTTTTTAGTATTCTGTAGCTGCATAAACTGTAGGAAACTGGATGAAATTCTTCTTGTCTTAAGCACAAGTAATATAATGATGTATTCTTTTTAAAAAATCATTCTGCCATTTGATATTTCTTATATATATTTATATACAAATTCAGCTGAAATCTATCATGCATTGATTATTATAGTTTATAAAAGTTCAGTTGATTACTCTCTTCCCCAAGCCTTCTGAATTCTGATGATGTAGTTCTTGTCTCTGGTTCCACCACTCAAGAGGAATAATTAGACCTCGATTACATAGGCTTGCATTGAAAATTCAGTATGGAAGACTTGTCTTGCATATTTCTATTTTAGCTAGGGAAGACTGTAACAAGCTTTATTTTCAAGGTACATAAAAGTATTAAGTGTTTGCTGCCTTTGTATGACTGTGTTATTGGAAAGTTAGCATTCATGTGAAAACTTTATTATTTTCTCAAAGTTTTAAGATCTGAAAAGATAACAAACACAGCCTTTAAAATGGAGCTTTATTTCCAATTCTGAACAAAACATGAACCAAATTCTGTTTGGTCAACTGAATGCCAACAAATCCATTCTAATACTCCCTGGCTTCCATATTCATCAATTCCACATGACACAATGTATAAGTAAGTTTTAAAGCACAATGGGAAGTTAAAGAAAAAAATTAAGTGTGAGAACTAATTAGCTATAGGATAGGACATGTATTTGTCTATTGCAATAGAATCAGAGCTCTGTATGAATTATATTACCATATGATTGATTTTGCACTACAAATTTGACTTTTGATAAGAAACTCACCAACTATAATCTCCTTTCACAACACAGTTTACCTATAGAAATCATCACCATGAGAAAGTTCCGGGAAGCATGTTCTCAGACCTCATACTGTATGAAATAAAGTTGCTTTGGATTTGAGCGTGTGAGGAATTTGGACCAATGACCTGCTTTCCATGTGCTCTGATGACTAGTCTTGCTATTTTTGTGCATTTTCTTGAAGTGAAAGAGTCAACCTTTTAAGATTGGGTTTTTGTAATGAAGCCAAGAGGAGGAGTTACTTGCTTGGCTCTGCGTAAGGACGTGGCAGTACTGATGGCACTCTCCCTTTCTCTCTACCCTCTCCCATCATTTTCATAGATGCACATCGGGAATTCCTTCACAGGCCTGCATCTGGATACGTGCCAGAGGAGATCTGGAAGAAAGCTGGTAAGAACTGTTTAGAAACATGAGTTTCGTGTTCTGGCAGCTGTGTGCAGCTGTGAATGCTGCTGTTGTGAGGAATGACAAGAGAGGACTTTGCTGCGAACAACAACAATAGCAAACGCAAAGCAAAACAAAGTGAAAACCACAAAACAGAACAAACTAAAAGAAAAAAATCCCTCATTAATATTCTTAAACCAGGCCTGATTAAAACATGAAATAGTTTTTATTTTCATAGCATCTGCTAGTGCCATTATAATTGAAAGGCTGGCAATATTTCCTTTATAACCCCCTCCCTCCTTTTGTAGCATCTGTAATGGCTTCAGAGTGAAATTTTGGCACAGGAGGTCTTAGCTTGCATGCAGTTCTTCTTTGATGAGGAAAGAAATCCAGTGTTCTAGGAATTAAATTACATACATCAGCATTTTTCTCTGCATTCTTAAATTGGGCCAAATCTAGTGAACTTGTTAAGGAACTTTGCAAGGATTATTATTTTTGGTTACAGTCTAGTTTTAAAATCGCTCTCCTGTGGTGTTTAATATTAAATCATCGGAGCTAAGTTACTTTTTCAGTTGAGCAACAGAGTAGCTGGGTCTTGAATTTCTGCACCCACCGTTCATCCACTCCCCTCACTATCTGTTGCTTTGTATTCTGTGGTAAATTGGAAGCCTCCTGGGACCCAATGACTTGGTATTGGCCTTAAAGTTCAGAGCTGGCAGACTGTGACATCAGCTAAGCATGAAACCTGTAAAAAACTGAACTCGGGAGGTGAAAGATAAGCCTGCATCATGGGCTGAGGATGACACAAAGAACAGGTGACAGCTGTGTAAGTCTCAGCAGCGGGTCGCCATTGTTATTATTACTGTTTTTCTGCACAAGAGTTCTGTTTAGGTATTGGTTGAATTCAATTATTTGTAATCCTTTACCAATTGCTGAATATTTGGTCATTTGTGCTTTATCCACATTTTATAAAATGTCTAAGAAGTACCACATTTCATAAGAGTGAAAACAACTTTCCCAAATCTGATACAATTTTAAGTTTCTTACCTGAGATTAAGAGAGAGGATTTGCTCTCACAGGTCCTGTCTGTATAGCAGATGGATCCTTGGGCTGGCCTGTTGAAATTCAAGTGCTGCTTACCTATTTCCTGTATTGTACCCATGTGCTAATGGTCTCAGGATTCTCCCAAGCTGTCACTAACTGCCAAGTGACTTCCAACCCCAGGAAGTTGCTGTGTCTTCCCATCCTTTTCTCTTTTACTTTTAAATCCTCGTAAGCTGCCAAGGCCTGCTATTGTAATAAAAGTTACAGAGAACTGTCATTTTGAACAATAAAGGATGAGTTTCTATGTCATGAAAATGTCTTCCCTTTAGTTACCTGTATTTAAGTTAAATTCTTGATAGTTCTTACAGAAAATTAACTATGAGGTCTTGTGTAACTCAAATTTCTTCTGCACTGTTCTTTGCTCATCCTTGTTGGGCTGCTAGTGAGCAAGAGCAGATTTCCTGAACACACCACCTTTTCTAGAAAGCCCGCATGAACAGGGAAGCGTAAAGGAAGTCTCCCCGTGAGCAGCAGGCATTGGCAGCGAATTCAGAAGTCTACTTTGCATTTTCCACTTATTCAAAGTTGTGTTATTTCTTCTCCTTCACTTTTCTTATTTGATACACAGGAGTCTATTGAATCCACCATTACTTTTTCTTCAGTCTGTTTTGTGTATGTCTGAACCAAGTCTTGATGTAGTTTAGGTTCACGGACCTTAGAAACTTAGAAAAAGCAGTTTTGTTTCTGTTGTGTCCATCACTGCTGAAGAAGGAGTGAACCTGGCCAGGAGAGTTTGTATTACTTTTAGATGTATCTTTCATCTATATCTGTCTTCTTTCTAAGATATGGTTCAGTTGTGGTGGAGATGGCATTTGTCTTCTCATTGGGTACCACTCACCACATAAGAAAATTTAAGGTGTGGATGGCAGCTTCACCTCTACAGCTCCATGAAGTGCTTGTAATATTTTCCTGAACAAACTTTTTTTTTTAATTTAAATTAGAAACAAGTTTGCTTCACATGTCAATTCCAGGTCCCTTTCCCTCCCCTCCTCCCATGCCCTCCCACCAACCCTCCCAATATCCCCCTCATTTCCCCAGGGAGGGTGAGGCCCTCCATGGGAGTGCCCATAGTCTGTCCTTTCATCCAGGGCAGGGCCTAGACCCTCCCCCAAGAGTCCAGGCTGAGAGAGCGTCTCTCATTGTTAGATAGGAGCCCAAAGTCCATTTGTATACCCGGGATAAATACTGATCTACTACCCAAGGCCCAATAGATTATCCAGACCAACTCACTGACACCCACATTCAGGGGGTCTTGATCAGCTGGACAAACTTCCTTATAAAGCTGGTGTAGAGTTCCCAGTGAGTGTCATCAAAGCTTCTAGTCTATGAGGACACCAGAGGTAAAAATGGGTCGTCTACACTCAGCTTCCTGTACTTTGAAAGAATTCTAGTACTTAATTCTGTAAGCAGAAAAATAAAAACCAGACCCAGGCAATAGAGTTCACACCTGTAATCCCAGTAATTGAAAAACTGTGTCAGGGAGATACAAGATTGAGGCACCATATGCTACAGGATGTGACCCTGTCTCACAAAACCAAACTAAAGCAAAAAGCAGCAACAACAAAAATCCCTAACCCAACAAATGAACTTGCCTACATTTTAAAAAGAGACACTTTGGCTTTGCCACAAAAGTACTATGTATTGTTTTCATGGCAAAAGATAACTAAGTAGAGTTTAAAATGTTTGAAAAACCCTGATTGGGCACAATGCTCAGACTTTAGTGTAATACAATGACTGCATTGTCTTCACAGGAAATTATGATTATAAAAGTAAATACTTTTAATTGTGTTTTCCAGTTTTTATGCCATTTTAGAGATTATTTTAAATTTGCATAAAGATTTCAAAAAAATAGTAATCACAATTTCTCACTACTTTTCTACACTCCTCATTTTACGACACTTGTATATATTGTCCTTTTTCTCACTCTCCCACTTTTTGTCCTTCCCTCTGCTTCCCTTACTCTCTCTCTCTCTCTCTCTCTCTCTCTCTCTCTCTCTCTCTCTCTCTCTCTCACTCACTCACACACACACACACACACACACACACACACACACGAGTGGGGGGGTCCTATGTAAATTCTGTATATTGCTCCAGTGATACTTTAACAACATTTTGATTCATATTTTTAAAAGATTATAAATCCTAACAAACGTTGAAGGCTGCATCCACTCTCTCTAAAGTTAGTATTTTTAGAAGCAAGAGCAAAGATAACAAGTGAACTCAAAAGTTACAAAGGATCCTTATAAAACTGGAGGGAAAAAAGTCAAACATAAAAGTAGCTTCAAAATTGTGACTAAATGTTTTCTTCAGTATATTTCTTTTCAAGGGATCAGAGAATGTTTGCAGTTGGTAATAAATATTCAAGCACCTTGCAAATGTCCTACCAATTCTCTTTGCTGATCTGTATATGCCTGTGGGATTAGAATAGGAATGCATAATTTAAATATAAATGGCCTTATTTGCATATACAATTAGTCAAGCTACAGCTTTGATCCTAAGCAAAAATTATTGTCCTGTATTACCACTTAGATAGAATTTTAATTCACCTTGAATATTCAAACTAAATGAGACCCTGGCTATGTAGTTAGAAGGGCAGTACTTCCCTGGTGCCCTGAGTCATTTATGATAGGGTAATAAAAGCAGCTCTGCCTCTTGTAAGGAAGGTGCTGTGAGCTGTGTACAATGTCCTGGTTCTATCCAGATTTTAAGTGCATACCTTGCAGGAGCTAATAGACGATTAACATAGCTTAGTTAATATTTTCAATCTGGATCTGTCTTTTATAGTATAGTGTGTGAAACTTAGCCAGACAGTAATTGCAAAGAAAGCCCTTTAGGAACGATGGCACCAAGTGACAAAGGCTAAAGAAGGCATGCTTGTGGAACATAGGAAAGACCTTCTGTTGACCCATAGGTCATGCGCTGTAGAATCAACCACAGGAATTTAAGAGCCCTGAGAGGACTTGCATCTCTTACTCTTTGAATCTACAGTAAAACATTTTTATTAGGAATCTTTGTTTTTAATTAAACAGAACATTTAATTAAGGTGCTTTTTAAGTGGGTGAAACAATTAAGTGCAAACACTTGAATGAAACATGTCATAATTAGTTTTAATAGAGTGTTAATTGGTAGTAGGTTTGCCAAGTTAATAATTACTGCTTATTAAATTTTCAATTAATCATTGTCATTTTGCTTTGAATAAAGATGAAAATTAGATAAACTAATTCAGGAGGAGGCTATCTTCCCTTCTTAATTAGAACAGTTAATTTTTTAAAAGTGGGAAGTACTTGTTTTAGTTGTCAATCTTCTGCTATACAGTGGTTGAATCTTTGCACTTTGACTGCAGCCAAACTGAAGAGATAATTCAACACCTTGTAGGTTTCCTATCAGGCCTGATTGCATGGCTTATGGTGTGATTCAGTTTTGTCTGTCCAGAGTAACGGTTGGGCCAAACTACCATATATGTTTGAAGTAGACAGAGAACAGCCTATAGCCTAGAAATGACATGGTTCTTTAAAATCTCAGTAATCTACTCTGTAGAAGCATATAGCTGTATTATTAAGGAAATGACATGAAAAGGTAAAACTTCCTGATCTGTTTCATTATTTCTTTTATTTAAAGGATCCTACCCTGTAGCTCAGGCTGGTCTTGAAGTCCTAAATGATGTGATTACAGGCATTCGCCATGATGTCAGGCTAGAAAATGAGGTTCCTTGTGTGTCTGAATGACTTTTCCAAGTTCCTTGTGGACATTTTTTGCCCCTTAACAGGCACCAGAGTCATTTCTGGAGGCACTAGTGTGGGAAAAAAGTTAAGTAAAGATATGTTCGTTACATGTATTCCCAAGAATGCCATGCCTAAGAGAAAGTCTTACTTTTGATTTCCGAAATGAATTTAAATGTTGAGATTGTTCTTTAGACAAGCAGAACTTTAGACAGGCCCAGTCATTTGGATGAGAGCTGGGTTTGTTTTGTGAAATTCTGTCAAGATGGGACGGGTGTCTCTAGAGCTGAGCTAACCCAGAGCTGATGTGTTCTCTGGTCTGGCCTTAAATCACAGAGGAGGCTGTGAACGAGGTGAAGCGACAGGCAATGACCGAGCTGCAGAAGGCCGTGTCTGAGGCAGAGAGGAAAGCCCATGACATGATCACCACAGAGCGAGCCAAGATGGAACGCACCGTGGCTGAGGCCAAGCGGCAGGCAGCAGAGGATGCTCTGGCAGTTATCAACCAGCAGGAAGACTCCAGCGAGGTAAGGCCTGTGGGGGAGCGTCATTGCAAAGAAGAGTTAGAGCATTTGGTTTTGGTCCCGGAAGTCCATAGATGCCACTGGAGAATGGAAAAATGCCTTTAGAGACAGATAACTGGGGAAAACTTAGAACACTGTGGGAAAATTTAGGCATTGATGGGTTGATGTAGGGCAGATGCAGCTTGGTTATTCATAACCACTTGGAAGAAACGTTTTCTGACCATGGTGTGGTGATGCGTTTGGCAGGTTAAACACTGAGATCTGTGTGTGAGATGTGCGTGTAACTGTGGGTATGTGTGTGCCATGGCAAATGTCCACCTTAACCTTTCACTTTGTTTTACTCTGGCTCTCTTGTTCTCCTCTGCACATATTTTAGACTGAACGTGTGGGGATTCTCCTGTTCCCAGGCCCTATCTGCACAGTGGAGGGTTGTAATTAGAGATGTGTGCACTGGACAGGGTTTGTGTGGGTGCTGGAGGTTCAAGCTCAGGTTCTTACTTGTGGGGAATGTACTGTAACAAGTGAGCCATCTCCCCAACTCCTGTTGGGAAATTGCTATGCTCTCCAAAGTTGATTTAAAACTTCTTTAGTAAGGAATCCTAAAGTTCAATGCTAAAAAAATGTTTGCCTGAGTTAAGTGTTTCTAAAAGATCTTATATATGATCTTTGTTTCCATGGTATCTATCATTAACCATTGTGGCAGTCATAACATAACATTGCTCTCTGACTAATATTATTAAGAATTATTTCAGTATAATGATTTCTACACATCCACACCCACACACATGCACTTGCTTGGGGCCTAATGATCCAAGGAACTGGCAAGTAAATAACTAAAATGTGACAGAATGCTTTAAATATATATAGCCTATAGACTCTCAACAGCATAGAATAGTTCCATGTTAATTAATATAGCACACAATCTTCAGCTCCAGAATAAGTCCAGATAAAAGACTGCAATTAGCTCGTCTCTCAAAGCTGAGCCAGCGAAGGCATGGACTGCTAAATCAATGGCCTACTACAATCCGTATCTATAATTTGTGAGGGAGAGTAAGAATTTAATTTGTAGCAGGCTTTTCTGCAGATGAAAGACCCTGCGGGAATCACTCACTGCCCAGAGTCTCTATTTAATGTGTAGCAGATGAATAACAAGGGGACAAAAGGGATTGATTTTCAACATTTGGAAGTTTCTCAGGAAGAGAGGGACAAAGGGAAGTTTATCTTCCTTTTAATGCCTGACTTTTCCATTGTTGCATTAAACGAGACAGAAATTCAATTTTACTGGCATCACGCCATTAGGATTTATAAGGACTTTGTTTTCTTTTTTATGTTTTTTTAAAGTTTATTGGTGTCTACTGAAGAGGACTTGTACAAGTTGGTGATATTATGAGGAGCACTTATCATCCTGTATACATTTTTATTTTCACATGAACATTTTAGGGCCGATGTGTATATTTAGAGTGTTTGTAGAGGGCTGCCTTCTAAAGATAAATGCCTGGGAAGGAAATATGTTGATATGCATCCATCCAGGCAGTGGCCTGCTAGATTCCTTCTGTTTCCATACATATAGTGTCTTTAGTATAAAGCCAAGTAGGAAAAGAACTATTATGGTGACAGTGGTCTTGACATTATAAAACATGGTATATGAAACAGACCTTAAGTTCAGGTCTACAGTACTTCCCAGAAATCCTCCCAGAAACCTGAAGGGCTCTGGTTTCATTAAGCTAGGACAGACCCATTCTGGCTGTCATGTTGATTGGTCCATTAGGTGGGGAATCTGCCAGAAATGTGAGGCCCAGCTGACTCAATACCCAGATTCCTTACAACTCATAACTCACACCTATTTTTGATGCTTTGGAATTTTCTTGGATATTAACCATTTGACCACAAATAAGGTTCACACAGCATTGAGTTCTATATAATTTATGTTTTTTTAAATAAAAATACAAAGTCTGGTTATGGTAAAAGCTAGTTGGGAAATATATGCATTGCTATTAAGTGTAACAGCTATTGAATTTTAACTCTCACAAATTAATAGGCCTTCTTTTTGTGACTATGAAAGGAAGTAACACACACCTTAACTATACCTGTTTTTTTATTAATTCTTATAATGAATTACTGAACTTTTATTATACATAAGCGATGGTGCTAGCCCTGAGGATACCATAGGCTTTGCCTGGTGAGGCTTCTGGTGTGGAAGGATTAATCGGGAACTGGGTATTTTGAGCCTTGTGGCCTCTGCCCTTTCCTTGGGCCATAGTAATAGGCGCTGCAGGGGAGAAACCCCAAGGTGGTAGGGAGCAGTTTCTGGAAGCTGACATGGCTGGTGGGTGTTTTACAAGGGGCAAGAGATTCCAGAATTAAAAGGAGGGGCTATTTCTGTTTCGGGTCAAGATTCGGAAAATTTTGTAGTGGTGTCAGGGGTTGGAGTGAAGGGTAGATTTAGTCATGCTGGCTACATACTCATGAGATCAGTTGTCACCTGGGGTTTTGGATGTATCAGAAGATTAGATCTGAACCACATTTAAAAATTTGCTGAAGGGCTGGGGAAGAAACTGAATGGGTAGAGCTCTTACCTATGGGACATGAAGCCCTGGGTTTGATCCCCAGTGCCTCGTCAAACCCAGTACAATGGTACTTGCAGTAATCTCAGCACTCTAGAATAACAGGTAGGGAGTTTAGAAGTTCAAGGTCATCCTCCACTAAGTAGTAGTAAGTTTGAAGTCATCATGAGCCACATAATACTATGTCTCAAAAATAATAACAACAAAGAAAAGCATACCAAAACTACTTGCCAGATTGATCTGTCCATGGTGTCTGGGGAAAACAACAAAAAAAGGTAACCCATGCTTGGGTATTTTGTGCTGTGTATGTAAGCAATATTAGTTAAAGCATTTAAAAACTCAAGTGAATTGCTAAATTTAGCTAGATAGACAAGTCTTTAGACTGGAAAGAATAAGCAGGATAGAAATTTATGAAGTTCATCTTGTCTATGATAAAAATCAGGATTCTCCACTGCTGTATAGGGTGTTGGGTGCGTACATGGATACCTAGTGTAGAGCTGCCATTTTCAGATACTTTCGTGTACCCAACACTATCCTCAAATATGCTTGTTTGCATGGTCAGCTGACCGCATAATCATCTGCTCTTATAACTAGAAGAATCAAAGAAGATAACCCAAAAGCCTTTTTTTTTTAACATGGCAAAATAAAATATAATAAGAGAAAACAAAAATCATCACATTGAGGCTAGGCAAGGAAACTCAAGAGAAGGAAAAGACCCCAAGAGCAGGCATGAGGATTAGAGACCCATTCATTCACACACTCAGGAGTCCTATGAAAACACTAAACAGTCAACAGTTTTGTGGTTGCGTTGGTGTTTGCTTTTCTTTTATGGCAGCCTACAGAGTACCTTCCCGTACCAGAGACACTAGAATGTAGGAGTGAAGGGCTGTTGAGCCAGCTGTGGATTGAAGAGGACTTTATGAGGCTTTACTTATCCTGGTGAATGATTGGTTACGGATACTCTGTACATTTGCTCACTTCTCACATTAGCTGTAGACAGAGGAGACAGGGTTGTTTTCTTTCCTTTGCTGATAAGAAAGCTGAAACTTGGAGGATGTAGGTTACTTGTTCTATGGCTAGATGGTACCTGTGAGCTGGTGCCCAGCCTAGTTTGCCTGGCTCAGACCACCTTCCTAATAGCCACATAGCAATAGTGGGTGTCTTTCTCCCTGGACCAATTATATACTAGTATTTTTCAGTTATCGCTATATATTTATTTAACTTTAGATGTGTAAACCAATAACGTAACAACTATCAGAATGGCATTGGATTTGGAAGAACCTAGATGATATATTACTTTGTTATACTCTATCTCCTTTTTAATGTCTACTTATTGTGCGTGTCATATCATGCAAGATGTCAGTGGATAACTTTCAGGAGTCAGTTTTCTTGATCTGCCTTTGGGTCATGATGAATTCAGGCCATTAGGCTGGTGATCAACTTTTATTGCCAGCTGTGCCATCTTGTTGGCCCTACTCATTGTTTTACAGAGTATTATGTGTATCACTCATGCTGTTACATTTATTTCACATATCTATTTCCTATATGTGTACACAAATCGTTCTTTCCGGTGAACGGGTGATATTGGGGGGGCTATTCCTAATGAAACTTGTTCTATAGATTCCTTTTGATCCACCGCTTGTTTGAGCTTAGAAAGTTGAAGTGTGTATGGACTATACATATGGTACTGTTCTAGTGGAGAGATTAGTTTTGAGCCACCAAAGTGATTTTCCTCCTAAATAAAGAACCGTTACCCACTGTTCTGTATAGGTGAAATCTGTGATTATACCAAGAGGAAAATACGGGAGTGTTTGTGCAATACAGACCACACTGTGTTGTGGTTCATCATTGCTGAACAGGCATCACAGCCCTTCTGAAGACCTCTTGATTCCCAGAATTTGTATCTGTCAGTGTGAACTATGAGATTATGTTTCAATAAGAGTTGGTTAGTGTGCCTCTTATTCAAAGAACAGCTGTTTATAAGTCTGGGGGTAGAGTGGGAAGACTACTACTTTAGGATGACTGGCTTTGAGTTGTTCATCTCTTGCTTTGGTTTTCTGTACGCGCGCGTGTGTGTGTGTGTGTGTGTGTGTGTGTGTGTGTGTGTGTGTGTGTGTGTGTGTGTGTGTTGGCAGGGGGTGCCTATGCTTGTATGTGTAAATGCAGAGGCCAGAGGAGGATATTGGTATTTTCCTTTATCACTTCCCATGTTAGTTTTTGAAGCAGTGTCTCACTCTGAACATGTGTTGTTAGCTAGATTTACTGGCCAAAGGGCTTGGGTGGGAGTGGGGGTGGGAGGTCCTCCTGTCTCCACCTCCTGACATTTGCATGGCGCATAGCAGTGTGGGACTTTTTATGTGACTGATGTGGATTAGAACTCAGTTCCTGGAGTTTTGGGTTTCTTACTGTGAATGCAGGCTAATGATTTTTGTGACCCAC